CCCAAGATTTTTTTTAAAACACAGTTTTTAACACTAACTTTACAGTTGTTGAAAAGTAGGTTATAGTTTTAAAATAATATGGATATCATATCATCATAACGCAGTTATAAATGCAGAGTCATTTTTTAAAAAAAGGTAACGGTAAGGAGACGTTCAAGTGTGGGGCCACAGGACAGAGGGTGGAGAAGGGGAGCCGGGTGCAGACTTACATCTCCCCTGGGCACGCGAGCCAAACTTGAGGCCAGAGGCCCCGCCCCACGGTCGGTTGCGCATGCGCAGTCAGGTGGCTCGCCAGCGCGGGACGCGGCCGAGCTTGGTGCTGCGGCCCGCGAGAGGGTTCGGATCGATCTCAGCGGGTGGCGATTGCTTCCGCCTGCTGTTTGGGAATGGCGGCCTCGAGGGAGCTGAGGGGCTGCAGGAGTCAGGGAAGGGGTCTCTCTGCGCGCTGACCGCTACCCGGACTGTCCTGGGCTGTGTGCTATGGAGAAGCCTGACTCTCCGGCCACGGAAGACCGCGCTGGCGGTCGCAGTTGGTGCTTACGACGAGTGGGGATGTCCTCCGAGTGGCTGCTGCTGGAGGATGAGAGTGAGGTAAGAGCGGGGCAGGGGCTGGGGCAGAGGATGGGCGTCCCGGCAGGCCGTGGGGGAGGAAAGGCGTGTCCGGCGGGTGGGTGGTGATGGCGGAGAAGCGAAGGGGCCCTGGCGGGAGCGGAGGGGGGCTCTGGGGTGAAAGGCACCGGGGGACGCAGGGGCAGAGCGAGAGGAGGAAAGAAAGAGTTTGGCGGGAGTGGGGGTGGGCACCCGGGAGCGGTGCGCAGCCGAGGGCCGGGCCCGGGAGACCGGCCGCTGCTCCGGGTGGCCGGGGCCTACGCGGGGCCGCGAGGCCAGCTGGCTGGACAGAGCCGAGCCAAGCGCGTGGAGCGAGGTGGGCGCACAACCTGGAGTCTCCTTGGGGAAGCTGCTGGGGCTCGGGGGCCCTGGGACAGCCCCCTGGGGTCTCTCAGCCCCGCCCGGGGCGGCGGCGACTTCCTCCGCGACCCAGGCGGGGCCTGGAGGGACGGCCGGGAGCTGTCCCAGGCCTGAGGCAGTTTCTTCCGAACACGGTGTCCGCTGTCGGGTTACCGTGTTTCTTCCGAAAACGATGGCGGGGGTTGGGTTGTGTCCTCCGACGTACTCACACTGGAGCGTAAAAAAGTGTTTTCTGCGCCCCCACTCGTTGAGAGGGACATGGATGCTTTTGTTGTGACCGAGAACCCCAAGTGGGAAATCGGACTTTTTGAAGAGTTCTCCTTACTGATGCTTGTTAACGCGGTCCAAAAAGAAAGCAAACAAACCCCAAAACAAACGGGGGGGAAAAACCCCAACAGCAGGTAAAGGTGAGACAAGGTGAAGGAGAGGGGAGGGCGAAGCTCGATTGCAATCAGGCTGGGAAGGAGAGCTGGGGTCCGGAGCAGCTTGAGGTCACTGGAACCACTTGGGCTTTGGAAATCATTTGTGTGAAAGGTTCGTGTTGCAGTGAAACTGGGCGGGTCATCGTTCGCGTTGGTGTTGTGTATGTTGGATTCCACTTTTCCGTAACTCATAATCTCAATACAGTCTCCCAGGTATGAGCTAACCACAAAATCAGCGGTTCAAAACTAACTAGCATCCGCTTGGCAAGAGACAACAGAGGCTTTCTTCTGAAAGTTACAGCCTCAGAAACCTACAGGTCGATATGAGTCAGAATCTACTGGATAGCAAGGAATAAGTATGTTGTTTTAATGTACTACCAGAGGGGGGAAAATAAGAACACCTTTTGCACCCAAAGAATTTATCACTTTTATAGAGAAAGAGGGTTTATATAGGGTAGCAGTCAGAGAGCATCCCTGCAGACTGTGTGATTAAGTACCATAAGGTCAACTATTTACTATATACTATTCTAGAAGAATAGGTTCCTCCAGTCAGAAGAGATTCAGGTCCAGTTTTTTTATTTCCAAATAATCATTTTATTGGGGCTCTTAGAGTTCTTATAACAATTCATGTATCAAGCACATTTATACATATGTTGCCATCATCCTTTTCAAAACATTTTCTTTCTACTTGAGCCCTTGGTATCAGCTCCTCCCCCACCCCCAGGACCTTGATAAATAATAAATTTTTGTTATTTTCATGTCTTACACTGTCCGCTGTCTTCTTTCACCTATGTTTCTGTTGTTTGTTACCCTCGGGAGGGGGATTATACTTTGATTATTGCAATCAGTTTCCCCCTTCTCCTCCCACTTTCCCCCTGCCCTCATGGTATGGCTACTCCCATTACTGTTCCTGAGCGGTTTATCTGCCCTGGATTCCCTGTGTCCAGAGCTCTTATCTATACCAGTGTAGAGCTCTGGTCTAGCCGGATTTGTAAGGTAGA